ACGCTGCACCACTGGCAGGGCGACCGCGACCTCGTGACCAGGAGGGGATGACGATTGTCTGAGCCAGGACATACCAGGGGGCGGTCGCGCATTGCTTGAATCTTTCCATGCACGAAGCTTTTCTTAGCTTGCCGACTACAAGTCCACGTGGAATTGAGGGAGAGAGAGAGAGGGAGAGAGAAACAAACCAAAACAAAAAAACTATGTGCGCGCACGCGGAAGTAAGACTCGCATCGTCGCCTCTCTAACAGCTGAATACAACCGGATACTTAAACGAATCCTGCACCGACGAATAGCATGGGCCGAGGAATCCCCCTGCTTTTGCTGAAGAGCAATATAGGCTGAAGAGCGACATGCAGGGCTCTACCTCTTTGGAAACTGGCAGCAGAAGCTGGACCAATGCACGGGCTCCTGGGGCTGGGTGTTGCTGCCCTCTGGTTCTTGCCAACAGGGAGCATCAGCTATATCATCCTTCCCCTTTTGTGGGGGAACTTGCATCGCTAAACGTGCGCCCAATTCTGCGTGCTGCTATCGGATCGCCCTGAATTGGCGCAAGTTCTTGCTCAAGACGGCGTGACATTCTGTCTCTATTGACAAGCATGTGGCGTGTCACACCTCGGCCGGTGCCATCGCCATGACCAATGTAAGCACAATCTTGAACGGGGGACCGACGATGCTACACGAGCCAACGAAAGAAGAAACCAAGGGCTTACACTTGTGGCAAAAGTGGACCCCACGCTCCTCAACGTGGCTCACAGAAGCTCCCTGAACTTCTCGCTTACATCCAGACAACTATTGACACCGATGTTGGCGCGTTTGGGCGATCGGGGTGGCCATGGCGCGCCCGCTCTCCACGCCATAAATACACGCGGGCGTTTGTCGACACATTCTCGGGCATGGCCAGAGGCACCAGGCCCACGAGCGCGGTTTTTCCGAGTACAATTCTGCTACGCACGCTCGGCTCTGAGAGCAGATCGCAAGGGTGTCCCCCGCCAAGGGAGCTCGGCTCAGCCATGGAGCTTGCGGGGGGGTGGAGAAAAAGGGCGCGAGGGTGAAGAGACCGCCTGAGCCCGAGCGCGTCGACGGCGACGAGCCGCGCGCGAACGGGCCCCTCCTGAAGCTGGGAAGGTAGCGCAACACACTGGCGCGAGCATGCAACGCACACGCACAGACACACAGACACACAGACACACACACACACACACACAGACACACAGAACATCAGAGTGAGGGGGCCGAAAGGTCATTCATTGTCCCTGGGTGCGTGGCTGAAGTGGGGATCCGTGGTGGGGATTCTGCTTGTTACGTTGTTGCGTTGTTGTTTCTTTGTTGTCGTCGTCCTACCCGCGACCCACCCCGCGACCCACCCCACGATCCACCCCTCGACCCACCCCGCGACCTACCCGCGACCCAACTCGCGACCCACCCGCGACCCACCCCGCGACCCACCCGCGACCCACCCGCGACCGATTTGCGACCCACTCGCGACCCCACCCGCTATCCACCCGCGGCCCACCCGCGAGCCACCTGCGACCCAAAAGCGACCCACGTGGCCCACCCGCGACCTAGCCCCGACCCATTTACGACCCACCTGCGGCCTACCCGCATTGGTTTAACGAAAAACCGGCGCCTGCGGCGGCCCATTTGCCACCCACCCGCGACTTACCCACATTAGTTTTACGAAAAAATCGGTGCCTGCGGCGGGCTCGTTGTGTAATTTGTGAAACTTTGGCGCCTGCGGTGGACTTCTCCAGAGTTTCGCAAACTGCCGACGTCCCAACCGCCCCCTCGCACTTATCCGCGTCTGCGGGGTGCGACGTACGTTACAAAACCCCCTCCCTGGTGAACTCATGCCCTGCCTTCGCCTTGGGACCCACGTGTTCATCACGCAACTGGACATACAGGCAAGGCCGGCACAGCAGCGATCTCGGCGTCGAGCTCCTCGGCCGATGCGCCACCGGGCGCGTCATGCGACGCCGCCTCGGCAGGGGTGGCGGCCCCGCCCGCGGCCGGTGGCGACGGCCCCGCGCCTCCTCCCTCAGCAGGTCCCGACTGTGCCACGGCAGGGGCGGTGCCGCCGCTCGGCTGCTCGACGCACTGGGAGAGCCTGGCGCGGCGACTCTAAGCGCATACTCCGCCGCCATGGTGCCTTCCACCCCCAGCTCTTGGAGGACGGCGCTGATCTCGGACGGGTCGGCTTCGAAGATCGCCGAGGCGCCACAGCCGCACTCTCACCCGCAGGGGGCACCACCTGGGACACCGCCAGCGAGTGCAGCTCGGCCGCCAGCGCCACGCGCTCCTCGTGGAACGTGGCGAGCTTGGCAGCGGCCTCATCCCGAATCTGCGTGGCGGCCAGAATCCGCGCCTCGGCCTGCTGGAGGGCAGTCTCCTGCTTGGCGATGGCCGTCTCGAGCTTGTGCCGCGTGTCGGCGACCTCCTGCACCCGCGCGCAGGAAGGCTTGGCTGCCGCCAGCCGCTGCTTGGCCTCCGCGACCTTGCGCCTCGTAGCCTTTAGCGCGGTCGCGTGCAAGGCCGAGTCGCACTCGTCGACCATGCGCTCGAGGGAGCGGATGGTCTCCTCGTCCTTCTTGATGCGGCTCCGCAGCTCGCCATCCGTGTACTTGTCCAGCTCCGCGCCCTCGTTGACGTCCACTCCCTCGGCGTCGTCGCCCCGCTGCGGCGGCCGGCGCCTTGTAGAGCTGGAGTTGGCGCTGGAGTTCCGCGATATCCTGATCCTTGGCCTTGTCCGCGCGCCAAGGCGGATCAGCGTCTCGCTGGCGCGTCTGGCGCGCCTTCGAGACCGACGGCGCGGGCGGCTCGACGTTGGCACCGAAGGCGATCCCCTTGCGCCGGCCGCACTTGCCGCGCGCCGACATTGGAGCCCCGTTCCACCAAGGCTTCCCCGTGGTCGGACGCACGCAGAACCTGCACGTCCACTTGCATGCATCGCGGCGGGACCCACTACGCACAGCGAGATCCTATCCTGGCCGCGGGCGCGCGCAAAGCGGAACGGCGCACTGGCACCGTTCCCCACCCCAGGGGCGGACCTGGCGGAGAAGTCGGGGTCTGGCCTCGGTGGCAGAGGCATCCTTGCTGGCCTGGAGGCTGAGCGCCCCCCAAACCCGTAGTCTTGAGCCAGAATGGCTACGGAGGAGGAGGAGGAGGAGGAGGAGGTGGAGGAGGAGATGGAGGAGGAGGAGATGGAGGAGGAGGAGGAGGAGGAGGAGGAGGAGGAGGAGGAGGAAGGCGGGGGGAACGACACCATGAAGTGGAGTCCAGCTCCAGACGACGGTCCTGCTGACAACGTCAAGTTCGGCAGGGTGAATTACAAGACTGTAGTGCATATATTGGACCTCGCAGATTGCACCACATGCATTGCACCACACAGATTCTCCTTTCTAAAAACAGAATAGGATCTACCCCCCCCGGCGTTATCGACCCCCCTCTCGGGTATGTAAATCATATATGAGTATGACCACATGTCCATCCTACATATGAATTTACACTATCCCAGGCCAGCCGGGTTTCCCCCCCCTGAGGTTCCCATGTGAAAATCACTATGCGGTGACATGTTTTGTTCTAACATAGCACTTGTTCACGAATCCCTTGCAAACAATGGGACGAAATGCGCACGCGCGCGTCGTCGCGCGCGCATGCCGAAATCCTTCAAAAACCTCCGGTGCCGGAAGGATTTCGCAATCGAGTTTCCAAACAACATACAAAAACACCAGGTTTCTCAACACAGATTTGCTAAAACCGTTTCTGCGCGAGCTCTTGCGAAATCTTAAGAAAACCATTGGTTTTTTTTCAATATTTCCACAACATGCTATTAAACGGGCTTCGCGCGCGCATGTCGAAATCTGTCGAACGCCCTTGCGCGTGTGCCGTCGCGAGAATCCTCTACAAAAATAAAGGAGGAAGTGCAGACGCGCGCGTATGCCGACAACCTTCAAAACCTATCGATTTCGGAAGGATGTCAAAATCGTGTGTCCAAAAAACCTACAAAAACCCAAGTTTTTGCAACACGTATTTTCAACAAAAGCGTGCGCGCGCGCTCTTGCGTCGTCGTCGTCGTCGTCGTCAACGTCGCCGTCCTCCCGTCTCCCGCGTCGTCGTCGTCGTCGTCGCCTACGTCGTCCTCTGTCTTTCCACGTGTTCGTCGTCGTCGTCCTCTTTGGCGTCGTGGTCGTTTCCTTCGTCGTTGTCGCCGTGGTCGTCCTTCCTCCTCCTCCCTCGTCGTCGTCGTCGTCGTCCGTCGTCGGCGTCTCGTCGTCGTCCCTCCTATCCGTCGCCGTCGTCGTCGTCGTCGTTGTCGTCGTCGTCTTCCCTCCTCCCTCGTCGTTGTCGTCGTCGGCGTCGCCGTCCTTCCTCCTTCTTCGTCGTTCGCGTCGTCGCCGTCCTCCCTCCTCCCTCGTCGTTGTCGTCGTTGTCGTCGTTGTCGCCGTCGTCGTCCTTCCTCCTCCCTCGTCGTCGTCTTCGTTGGCATCGTCGTCGTCGTCGTCGTCGGCGTCGGCGTCGGCGTCGGCGTCGGTGCCGTCGTCGAAGTCGTCGGAGACGTCGTCGGTGTCGTCGTCGTCGTTGTCGTCGGTGTCGTCGCAGTCGGTCTTGAGAGGTTATTGCAAACCGAGCTGCGGGTGGGTGGGTGGGATGTTTGCGCGTCCTCCCGTCTCCTGCCTTTCCTCTTCTGCCTCCTTCTCCTCCTCCTCCTCCTGTCCCCGAAGGTGGGGGCCTGGCACCTGTTCTCGTGCAGTGGAGATGGCGACCTCAAGTTCGGCAGAGCGGGTTGCACCACATAGATGGCACCGTACTTCTGACACTGCACAGCATGCCAGAACACACTGCTCGGGGGGCCCACGCTGGCCGACAGAAGTCCAACACTCGAGACTGGAGCTCTGTACTGGTGAAGGTCTCCTCCTCCTCCTCCTCCTCCTCCTCCTCCTCCTCCTCCTCCTCCTCCTCCTAGGCTGGCGGATAAGAAATCCTTCCGCGCGCGGATGGCCCAAGGGCGACGCGCTTTGGATTTGCCCCTCTGCGTCGCCTCGTGCCACAAACGAGATGCCATGGCAGACTCCAGAGGCAGCGCTACCGAGCGCCATCACGGGCACTGCCGAGGAGGGCCTGCAGAGCCTGGGCTTCAACATCGGCAGCTTGCCCAAGGAACGCCCCGTGGGGCAGGTGATTGTGAGGTCGGTGACGCCAGGCGGCTGGGCCGCAGGCCTGGGCGTGCAGGAGCGGGACCGCATGGCTTTTATCGGCGGCGAGCGGCCAGATGGCATGGCGCCCAAGGGTGTGATCGCCGCCCTGAAGGTCCGGCCCTTGGAGATCATCTTCCACCGCCACGCGCGGCACCTTCAGGCGCACCCGACGGGAGACTGCCAGAGCACCCTCTCGAGGAGCAAAGAACGGCACGGGCAGCAACTGTCGGAGGCCCCCGCGCAGATTCCTGGGTCGGCTCTGGACCCCTCTGCCTAGCCCGCGGGGTACGCCAAGGGCGGCGCCAGGGGCGGCGCCAGGGGGGCCCACCGCCGACCCGAGAAACCCGCGAGAACCTCAAAAAGTTTGTGCTTATGTCAGTTCTTTCTCATTCGACCCTCACTCTGCGAAACGACCGGCACCCTCTGCCGCACCCGGCCGCTGGAGATTGCCACAGCCCCGGAGCCCAGCGGCCCCAGGCGGCGCCAGAGACGACCGGGTCCGCGGCGGCTGCCCGACGAAGCAGCGCCGACGAGGCGCACGAGGAGGAGGAGGAGGAGGAGGAGGAGGAGGAGGAGGAGGAGGAGGTGGAGGAAGAGGAGGAGGAGGAGGAGGCGGAGGAGGAGGAGGAGGAGGCGGAGGAGGAGGGGAGGAGGACGACGACGACGACGACGACGAGGACGAGGACGAGGAGGACGAGAAGAACGAGGAGAACGAGGAGGACGCGGAGGAGGACGAGGAGGACGAGGAGGACGAGGAGGGGGGAGAGGACGAAGAAGACGAGGCGGAGGAGGAGGACGACGACGAGGAGGACGAGGGGAACGACGAGGACAAGGAGGACGGGGAGGAGGAGGAGGAGGAGG